TTCCCACCGAGGTGGTACCTATTTATCTACTCACATTTACATGCTTTTGAACTGCTAGGTTGGCGAGGAGCTGGGACAAAGCAGATTCGATCTTACGACTGCTGGTCTTCTGACCCTGCAGCACAGACTTCTGAGGTTTATTATCCTCCATATACATATATACATACACCGTATTTTTGCTCCATAAAAGGGGGGGAGCCTATGTGTCTTATGGAGTGAAGGTGGCGATTTCACCCCCACTGGCCCCGTGGGGGGGAGCGTCACAAAGGTCCGAGTGAGCCTTCCAGGACCCTTGCGACACTCCCCCCAACCCCCACGGGGCCAGCGTGGGCGAAATCACCACCTTCTGGGACTCTTTTGAGGCTTGGGAAGCTTCGGAAGAGTCCCAAAGGTGGCGATTTTGCCTCCTCTGACCTCGGGGGGGCAGGGTGAGTCTCTAAAGGGTCCTGGAACACATCCTAGGACCCTTTGGAGGCTCCCCCTGCCCCCCCCAGGCCAGAGGGGGCTAGGGTGTGTTCCATAAGATGGACTTCTCCATAAGGCTCACCAAATTTTTAGAAGAAAACAGATTAATTTTTCCCTGTTTTCTCCTCCTAAAAATGTGGTGCGTCTTATGGAGCAAAAATACAGTATATATATATGAGAGAGAGCAGAATAAGAAAGTAACAGGCAGGCTGTGGATTCAGTAGTCAGTCGGTCTTCCCAAACTCAAGAAACAGAAGTGGAGGTTGCTAGAAATTCTCACTGGAATTTTTTTTTAATGGAGACATTGTTCATTTTTTAAATAATGAAATGGATTCTAACACAGTTTAATAGTTCACCTCATTCAGGTTTATTTGACTCTGTAGGGAGCAGGCTGCTGAGGCTGGTGAGCAGAATAAGAGTTCATGGAGTTGTGCACGTGCGCACCCATCTTAGCAGGAATCTTGAAATAACTTGTTGTTTTTTAAAGGCTTGGTGTTAGGGCAACTTGACACCAAAAAAGAGGGGAGGGATTGCTACTTGACCCATTTGTAAAACTTATTAAGGTAGTTCCCCCATAGCTATGCCTCCTCCAACTCAGGAAACCTAAATTAACAAGCTGCAAATAAAGATACTTGTCAATTTCCTCCTCTCTCCCTGTGAGGCCAGTTAGTGTAAATTTACCTGGGAAAACTAACATCCCAGGTCAATTCACATTTTTTTTTCTTACTGTGTAGTCACATCCTGTTAGAGCACCACAAAAACAGAACCAATTACTGTACTTCAGGACGTGGTAAAGGTTCTAGCACTGGAGGCATTCAAGAGAAAGCAAGACAGAACATCCATCAGATATACTGTACTGTACTGTGGATTCCTGCATTGAGCAGGGTGTAGGACTCAATAGCCTTATAGGTCCTTTTGAATTCCACTGACTCCATTATTCTATGATTATTACAGATTTCTCTTGAAGATGTGGTAAAGACATACTGAAACATTTGAATGGCTTTGGCAATTTAAAAAACATAGAAAAGGTAAGCAATTTTTTTTGCTTTTAAAAAAAATAACAGACTTCATTCAGCAGTTCTATACTCTCGCACGCTCTTGTGTCTCTGTTCACCAGAGAGGCCCACCCACTCTTCTAAATGATGCTCAGGGCTTTTGTTCTGGCTGCATTTTGAAGCAAAGCAACCTGTTCACACTTTAATAATATGTGAACATTATACTCCTTTAAATTTTGTAATGGAGGTCTTGGCTCAAAGCAACAACAAAACAAACTAACACACTGCACACAAAATGGATTTTATGCTTCTAAAAATATTTAGAAATGCATATTTTGGGAGATGATATATTTTTAAACATGCACACTTAAATATGACTGTTAATGTTTCCTATTCATAAGAAAGGTTGTAAATGCATACATGAATGGGTGGGATGCATTTATGAATGAATAGGTAAGAAACCAACACGGCCTGGAAACTGGCTGAGGGATCCTCATGCTGCCTTCCAGCCACATCAAAACTCAACCCCTGTTATTGTGTACATGAGGGTCATTTCTCAAGGATTAAAGAGATCAGTCAGGATCCGCAGCCCTCTCCCCTCGTTCCAGTTAAGAGTCTCTCTCTCTCCACCCCACACTTGCTTCCATTTCTGCTGGCCTCTGATTCACCCTCTTCCATCTGGAAGCATATTGGAAGTTGCCGAGAATTTACGGGAGTGATTAAGATTTCAGGATTACAGAAGGGAGAACTCTTACTCACATTTTGTTTTAAACGAGCAGGGGAAAACCCTCTCCTCTCCCGGCTAGTCCCCCGTTCTTCCGACGACTCTCCCACCGACAACGCTCTTGACAACGGGAGCCGCTCGCTTGGAGAGCGGGACAAAGACCGCGCCCTGCCCGCCCAGCGAAGTCCGGCCGGGAGAGCCTGCAGAGCCTCGCTCTCTCCCTCTCGCTCTCTCCCTCTCGCTGCTGCTGCTGCTGCTCTAATCTGCTTTGCACAACTTAATAAACAGCTGCAAACATCTCCTGGCTTTGCACTTAACTCTTATTGCCTCTGGCTGCTTGACATCCATCCCCCATCCCCCCCCACCGCCTCCTCTCCATTTTTTTTAAACTTTCTTCCTTAATTGCCTACTATGCTGGAAGACTTCAGAAAAAGTCTGTGCCTGGACAGATATACCTACATCTTATACCGCCTGTTCGTCTTCGGCAGCAAAAGAGTTCTGTGGCACTGAGAAGACGAACCAGTTTATTAAAGGATGAGCTTTCACGGACTTGCTTCCACACTGCAGTATGTGTGTGTGTGTGTATAAAACCGCACACAAACATACACGTGTACTTGTGCAGATATGCGAAACGCGTCAAAGCGAACAC